ATAAAAATTTTCGAATAGTAATTTAGTTATATGTTGGCTACTTATGATTTGATTTGATTAGTTTGATGATCACCCTAATTGTACGTACGTATGTGCGTACGGAGTAATTGACCAATCATATCTATTTTAGATCACGTGTTTATAATTAACCAATTAGAGTGATCGACTACAACTTAGCCGGCTAAACCGATTTTTAAAAATCGACTTAGTCTAGTCGATAAATTTGGATCGACTACAAACACTAGCTGATACGTTTTACAATACTTCTTTTAAAAGTTCGGGTAGCTTAACTTTCTATGGAACGAGAGTAAATTTAAGGATGAATTAATGCTTTGCTTCGTCTTATAACATATTCTTTTAATCTTCGTTAATCTCACAACCTTTTTTGCAACCTGATTGGCCAATCTGCTAGAATTCGAGATATGATTGGTTGACAATCACATGTAACTATATCGGAATCATCTACATGTTTGAAGTCGCTTCTGTTATCCCAAGTTTAAAAAAATCTTGACTAATTCCTAATGTCGATTATTATCATGAGACCGCTATTTAGAAATTCAACTTATAGAATGATAAAAGTTAGAAGTTAAGAATGTTATAAGTTCGATAGGCTATGCTGTGTAATAATATGTGATCATGCATGCATGTAGGATGTTTCTACAATATCTTCAGGGCCAACCAATTATCACGCTTATTGACCGAATAAGAATAAAAATAACCGATTGATCAAATCTTTTAAACCGTCTTTTTTTTCCTCACTCTCGATGGTATATAATGGAATTGAAAAAATCTGTTCTTATTGGCCTAGGTGTTCTTGGTGTAATCGGCATCGGCTATGTCATATATTGGGATTATATGAGACAAAACGACCGAGAATTTCGAAAGAAATGGAGTAAATAACTTTTCATAATGCTATTTAAACGTGATTACGAGAAGGGCCTGTGATTTTTTTCATTTTTTATTTTAATGCAAAATCAACTAAGATTTTAATTTCAACTTTTACACTTAGAGCGTGAAAAAAAGAGAGCAGAAAAACTTAGACAAGAAGCAGCCGAGGTCGCCAAAGATCGAACAACTGCTTTCGTTAAAAAGGCCGTTGATGAGGTCTCTAAAGAAAACTTCCCTACTGATGTCGCTGCTAAAGAAAAATACTTTATGGACCAAGTGTCCAACGGTGAAACTTTACTTGCTGAAGGTAGATAGGAATTCAAAATACATTCTATGTAATTTTATATTGAATCAAGATGAATATTTATTTTTTGAATTGTTAGGTAAAGAACGTCATTTGGACGCTGCTCTCTGCTTCTATAAGGCTTTAAAGGTGTATCCTAATCCTGTTGAATTGATAATGATATATCAAAAAACCGTTCCTGAAGCAGTTGTTAACGTGATTTACGAAATGATGAGTTTTGAGGTACAAAACCCTAATCCAGATTAATAGAAATATAGTAACGCTAATTAATATACATAGGTACAGTGTATAAAAAAATAATTAGATAAATAAATGAGATCAACTTTATTTAGGTAAAGAAAAAAAAAGCAGAGTATTTTGAAAATTTTCCACCGAAAGAGATGAATGTTAGAGTAGGAGAGATTAGCGAAAGCTCGTCTCTGGGTGATATTCGTCGCGGTCTTTTTGCTACAAAGGACTTTTGGCCCGGTGACGTCATCTTTGATGAACAACCTATTGCCTCAGCGCTTGATCCTGATTTTGAGGTATAGAAACGAAATTATCCCATGTTTTCACTATCCAGATATATGCTCCAATTAATTTATATATCGCTCGTTCCACGTGATGTTGTCCACAAAAAAAAAAAAAAACACAAAACCAAACCAAAAATGTTATATTACAGACTGGTGATTATTGTAGTTATTGTCTCAAAGAACTTTCCGGTGACCCAATCAGCGATGATACTGATCTATTTGAAGCAGTCTATTGTTCAAAAACATGTCATGAAAAAGCTATGAGTGAATATGCTACGCTTCTTTTCACTAATCGTGATAAAAACGACACAGAAAGTAAGGAATCTCAACTTGTACATTTGGTAAAATCTGGAAATGTTAAATATCCGTTGATGATCGCTCGATTTTTGGCTAAAATGGTTCATGAGGAAACACAAAAAGTAATCACGGGTGAAGAAGAAGAATATAGTACTTGGGACCATATTGAACGATTACGGTTTTTAAATGTACCATCTAATGACAGAGAGACTAATGAGATTAAATTGTTAAGAGAATTATTTGCTGCAAAAGTTCCTGGGATGGAAGAGTTCATATCTGAAGAAAGGTATTTAATGCTTAAAGGCAAGCTTATGTATAATTCATTTGGTATCAGTACCACGCGTGAAATAAGAAAAGAAAGAGAAGTATGTATCGATAATACTAAATTTCAACCCAATAATAAATGTATTTCATTCAAATTAAATCCATCGTTCTTAAAATTTATAGAATAGTAAAGAAATGGTTCGCACAAGCGAACCATTAGTGATTGGTGCCGGTTTTTATCGTGTCGCTTCCTATATGGTCCACTCATGTGATCCAAATACTATGATAAAATTTCCAAATCGAAATCATGTCATATCAATTGTTGCTACTAAGCAAATTAAGGCTGGTGAAGAATTAAGGACTAGTTACATTAGTGTTGGTCATAGAAATTTAGAGAGTCGACGTAATGAATTGGAATCAAAATGGAAGTTCCGCTGTACTTGTGCCAAATGTTTATCGGAAGAATCAACTACAGAACAATCTTTTATAGAAGAAAAAAATAGGTTGAAAAAGTGATTTGAATATTCCTACTCCATTTTCGTCTTATAATTATTTGGACCGAAAAAAACCCCCACTCTTCTACTATACCATTTTAGTTATGAGTGTTTATGCACAAATATTGTCATTGTTCCATAGTTATCCAAATTTAATATAGAAACAGAGAATTAAAATTAAATAGTTTATGAAATACTAGAAAAATATAGTAAGACAAAAATTTAGATTCGAGGCACTGGTTAATAAACGTGGCCAATTTTTATAATTCATCGATTAGAAAGTTACTGATTAGCGTGGATTATATGATTTTATTTTTCCTTGTTACAACTTATACAAAATAATATCTATGAGCCTAAAAAGAGATAATGAGCGATGAGAACAAAGCAGTTGAAAAAATTTTGAGTTCTACATAGGCTCGGGACGTCAATTCTCTGAAACGATGATAAATGCAAAATATACAACTAGCTAATTCAATAGAAGGATGCATATGATATCGAAGGTATTAAAACTACATCACGGTCTGAAATAAAACAGAACAGAGAAATGAATGATTTACATGAAATAAAAAAAAGCACCGAAAAATACCTAATTATTAATTTTTCTCCTTTATGCTAAAAATGTCAGTTCATCAACGGCGAATCTGTCAATCATTGATTTTTTGTCTTCATGAATGACCTTATTGCGACCAGACTTAAGATTAAGTAAAATTAGGTGGAATCCCAAATAGTATTTTCTAGGTTTCGCAAAATGCCTCCAGTTTTCCGTAATGTCAAACATTATTTGGAGATACAGTATTCGTGGATATGTAAAAACATGAAACTTTTGACATTCAATTATATACGGCTAATCATAAATTTTTTCTTGGTTAAGGCGTGTATGAAATTGGTCCAACTTCTCTTAAAATTAGACTTGGAGGTGGTAGATTTAGATAATTTGGTCCTCATTAAGGACCGAATTATCTAGATCTGTAACTACTTCATTAAGCTTAAGAGAACTAGCGACTTGAACCGATTAGAACCATAACCATTTGATAGTTTGTTAGCTAATTAGTTGATAAAAAGCTGATGCGTTTCGCCGATAGGAGCTTCAAGGTATTTTCGGCTTTATCAGAAGAGCCCTTGTCAGCGAAAACTTCGAATTGTACTGAATTGAATGCCAGTTTCCTTTATGTTCGATAAGATTGAGAAGACGAGTATATAATATCCAGAAACTTTTTTGTTACATACTTAATGGTGTATGATAGCTATAATAAGTACTGTATTACGGATGGATTGTAATACGTACATCAATAATAATTAATACTAAGTATCGGTATTTACTAAGTTACAAGATCATGACTTCAAGCAAAGCCCGGAGAAATATCCCTCGGGCCATTGACATCTCGATACGGCCACCGATTTTACGGGTCATGTGGGTGTAGTGATTTGAACCGAGAAAATTTTCCTTAATCGGTTAACCGAACCGAATTATTTCATTCAACCGGTTGCCAACCGGTTAAGATTAATACTCTACTGACCTTCGGAAATTCTCAGAGCTTTACTCTAATTTTTGTTCGTTCATTTATTTTTTCAGAACTTTTCGGAGCATTTACTCTCCTTATTACATCATTTTGTCATTTCCGATCCCGCCAGCCAGTTGTACTGGGTCAACCGATTAAGAATTTTCTCAACCGGCTACTCGAAATTTATTCGGTTCGGGTCGGTTAACCGATTATAGCTTAACCGATTCAAGTTACTATGTGGGTGGCGTCACCAATAAACTACCCCAAGAACACTCTAAAAAATTTTGCAGATCAGCCAATCAGATTTTGAGATCAGGTATAACATAAAAAATGTAAAATAAAAGATTTAAAATAATAAAATATTAATGTTAGAGTTAGAATTAAGGTTATAATAGGCATAATGTATATTAAATTTGATGAATTTTTTTTATTAGAATGCAAAAGGTGGTTTTATAAGCAAGATTTTGATTTTTCAAAAAAGTATATACTTCTTATATTATACCTGATTTTGTAATTTGATTGGTTATACAAAATTTTTCAGGGTATTCTTGAGGTAATTCTACTAATGTTCAATATATACAATATATGATCAAAATTTGCAATAGTATTATTGCTATAGATTTAATACTGATTTATTTGCAACAATTGTTGCAGGTGATACTACTCATATAACCCATAAAATTGATAGATATCCTGGTCATATTATTAATATTTCTGTTTATTTTTATTCTATACTAACTACATGTTTTTAATTTTTTTTTTTAATATTAAGATGAAGTCTTGTCTCATATCTTTATTAGATATTTGTCAAATATTTGTTTTATATATTTATATATTTATCTTAAGAATACAGATTTAAACAATTTTATTTATAATCTAAACCTACCAGAGTATGCTATATTCCTATTATATATTGGGTTATACCTAAATTTGGTGTTCTGACTATTTCTAATTACTTATCATATTTATCTAATATCTCACTATCTAATCTTGATTACTTTCAAATTAGTTTATTTAAGAAATTAGTCTTTTATAGTTTTCCAATTTGGTGTATTTATTATTAAGTATTTTATACTAATATATACTTTCTAGTAGGTGGCCTCTTATATATATTTCTTAAACTAGATGTTTGTTGCTATCATCAGTTCTATATGAGAAATATTAGTATCATATATTAGATATTTGAAATTATCTTATACTTGTATATCTATTATCAGCTTGTATCCCTTCTTACAACTATATATTATATGAATACTACAAACTCTTTTACTTACTTTTTCAGATATACTAATCTCATATTTCAAGCTAGGCCTTTGCTACCACTATATATGCCACCAAAATAGGTTTTCAAAAAAACTCTATTTCATCTCTATTAGAGCAATTTAAAATTTTTTATATGCAAAAGCAAATCTAATTTAGATAGGTATATTTCTTATAATTTTATCTTTTCAAAAAAAATATCAAAAAATTTCATCTTTTAAATAAAATAGATCAAAAACAATTTCATTTTCAAATTTTAATTTCATACTCTGAAATCTAAAATAATTTTGTTGGCATGTATAGCTACTACTACTAGTTTGCCTTCCCCAAGTCTTAATATTTCTTAAATTATCTAATATAATATACAACCCCTTAAGTACTTCTGACTAGAACTTCAAATTAGTACTTTTAGATATACAAAAGTGAGTTATATTCTCTATGTTGAGTAGCCTTCTATAGCTATTCCACCGATGCCAGAGATGCTTTTAATTCTAATTAAAATATAATTCTTTACTACAGTCCTTTTACATGTCTACTACTTCTCTTATTACTCCAGTTTTGATAATATTATATTATCTTCCCAAGCAAATACCCAATACCAATCTAAATTAAAACTAATACACATGATCTATTGATCATCTTTTTAAGCAAGTACTCTACAAGTTGGATGCGAGGATGTTAGTATTGCCTAAAATAGAAGCACAGAGAAATTGGTGTTGCCTCCAAGTCATTCCAATCAGAGAATTTATATACGCAATCTTCTACAATCTAGATCTTTTGTGAGAAATACACATAATAGCATCGCTTTATGATCAGGACTTCTTCTGAAAACACTTTATTCTAGTTTCGTACTGTACTTGGACTTTCTACAAAGTTTTGTATCCAAAATAGTGCTACTACCAATTGGCTCACAAAGAATTAAAAATTACTGATTTTATATCTCCAGGTAGATTTGAA